CACACACACACACACACACACACACACACACACACACACACACACACACACATGCGCATAAAAATGCGGGACTTCGTAAATTTTGGACTTTGTTGAAGCTCCTCGCAAAGACGCAATACTCGCAAAAGAATTACTGTAACCATTTTGGCACCTCGCAATAAAGTGTGCTTGCAATACTTTAGTACTGGCACTGTAGACTGTATTAAAGCTCATATGGGAAGAACCCTAATGCGGTGCTTCCCTGAGGGAAAATAACTGAAATCACCGCACAACACCAACCATTGAGTCTTTTTAAGCAACAATACTCTTTTGGTACAAGGACTTCAAATCACTATGAATCATCTAATTTGGTGCAGTAGGTAGTCCAGAATGGAGATTTGGTGGTAAAAATTAGAATTCACGCAGGAGGGTGAAAAAAAAGTGGTGGACACCACGACAAAATTCTGGGCGGGAGGCCCAAAAGGACCACCCACGCCCCCTCCCCCCCTACAGACAAAAAGTGTAACAAAAAGTGTAACAATCTGCTCCTTTTTCAAATCTGCATCTATCTGCATACTCAGTGCAATGAAAAATTGAGTTGGGGCAGAGTTATGGGGCAAAGACTGAGGAGCGGACACCCATGCAAATCTGCCCTTTCAGGCACACACAACTGGCTTGCAAGTCCACTAAGTGTCTTTCTGACTTCACCATGCACGAACACATTAAACTTTGTCACTTTCCTGGAAGTTTGGATTGGGTTGCTACATGTTTGCCTCCACACCCCCTGCTGCCCACACCCATGCGCATGTGGCACTGACTCTGATTCATGCACGGAGACCCCCTTTTTCACCCAATTTGCTCAAAGAGGGGGCCAATTGACAATTCATGAGCTCAGGAATCCTGTGATTTGTTTAAAATTCTGTAGAAGTGGCTCATAAAAATTTTAGAGGGGGTGTCCCAAAAAGTTAAACCCCCCCTCAATCAACCACCATCCACCACCCTCTCCGGTTGGACCCATACATATACCAATCGATAGCTCTCGATCTCAAGATTCCAAATTTGTAGTTTTTTTAAGGATAATCTCCTGATGTCAAAAGTTCTGCTTCCTGGTGCCTCCTGGTTCATGCCGCGGCTAATTTGGCATGTCTGCCCCAACTGGCACCTCTGAAACTCAAGTGCTAGAGAAAGCTACCTGAGGAACCTAAGTTTGAAAGGTGCCGGTTGGGGCATACATATGCAAGGAGCATGCAAAAAACAACTGATTTTGGGCCTCAGCTGCCCCCCTCAGGTATTTCCTCACTGTCTTTTTGATTGTGCTTTGCCTCTGTTGCACTTCCTGTGCAGGCAAGGGGGCCAGCGGGGAGCAGCTGCCCCAAGCCCACACATGCTTCATGCAGCTCACCCTGCCGCGGTATCAGACCCGCAAGGACCTGGTGACCGCCCTGCGCACAGCGCTGAAGCACGCAGAGAAGTTTGACATGGCATGAGGCGTGTCTTCTGTAGGATGGGTGGATGCGCTGGGTCTCTGGTGTATCACTATGCCTCATGCAGCCAGGCACATGACGTCAGGCGGTGGGGTGTCATGTAGGGGCAATTGGCTTCACGCCGTGGGGCGTCGTGCAGCTGTGCACTTAGGTTTCATGCAGTGGGGGGGTCACACAGCCAGGTGCTTGACTTCAGGCAGTGGGGCATCATGTAGGGGCAATTGGTTTTACGCAATGGGGCATCATGCAGCTTGGCTTATCATGGATGCTACTGAGTCCACGAACGTGAGGCTCACGGATGCAGCTGGGCACGAGCATGAGGCTATGATAAGGAAAGTCATACAGCTGGGCTTGCGGCCGGGATTATCATGGATGCAGCTGAGTTTACAAGCACGAGGCCGTGAAAAAGAACAAGTCTGTACTGGCCACAGGCCCTGTTCATTAGGTTAGTTCTTCACTTACTAATGAGCTGGCAAGGGCCTTAAATCTACACTAGACCCTGCTAGCCTAGGTGAGAGCCAGGAACTGGGCTCATGGGGATTTGGAGGGTTGTCAGCCAGCCTCCTAGGGGACATGACAGGGGCTCCACTTTTGGAAGCTGCATGAGGCGCAGCCTTAAGTGCGGCTGAGCACACGAGCGTGAGGCGATGGCTGTAGCTCCACTTGTTGCAGCTGCATGCGGCAGAGCCCAGAAGTGCGGCTGAGCCCACGAGTATCAAGATGCTGACATGAGGGTGTAAATGTGTCGCCACGGATGTGGCCCTGCTTGTCGGGGCTGCGTCCATGGCAGGGCGCATGCGTGGCCAAAAGGGTCGCATAGCTGTTCCCGCCTGTGGGGGCAGCTTAGCTGAGGAAATAAAAGGCATGTGTGGCTAGCCTGCAAGATGCCAGAGGATGCTTGGGCTTGCTGGCATGGCGATTCGGCGTCGTCAGACGGTGTATCCATAGTGTATTTACTTCTTGTTGGGACCACATGCAGCGGTGCCCTTCGGCAAGGCAGGCACTGTGTAAAGGAAAGGAAGGGGTCACGTAGCTGTGCCTACCAACATGGGCGGCCTAGCTGAGGCAGAAAGGTGCCAGCAAGACGCCACGGCATCCTTATGCGGTGATCAAGAAGTGGAATGTGGGAGGAGTGTGCCGAAAGATTTTTGAAATGCGCTCTGATCTGTCAAAATGCGGGTGTCCATAGGGCTGAGTGAATGGACCATTCCTCCGTCTTTTGGTGTCCTGATCAAAGGGTATGCCTCCTGGGAAGATTCTCGCACCTTAAACTGCATCAGTGTGTTTCATGTAGTATCCTCAGGAGTGCACAAAAGCACTTGGTTGTATGAAACGCCTCAGTGTGTTTCATGTAGTATCCTCAGGAGTGCACAAAAGCACTTGGTTGTATGAAGCGCCTGTGCACTTCAGCGTGGTGCGCAGTGCTGCCAAGTCAGCAAAAGTGTATTCTTTTTGTTATAAGGCTACGAGGTTACAATCTTCATGAACTCCTCCTTTTACATGAACAGGCTAGCAGTCAGTCGATCTGATTGTAGGTCTCCTTTTCCTTGTAACCTTGTAACCTTCTTCGTTGACATTTTGCTTGCGTTCTCCTATTGGGGAACATTAGCAGGTGTCTGCAATATATAATTTGATTCAATTTGTCAGCATACTCTCTGAGTTCTCGCCTAATGCGGCTCTGCAATAGGTTGGCAGTTTTTTGGGGGGCTTTAGTGCACTTCTATGTTTCCCATGTTGCGAGGACATTTAAGACCAAAAACAGGTGGCAAAATGCATTCTGTAATTTTCTTTGTACTTGCTTTTTATTTGGGTATCTTCCTTGCCTGTGAACCACTCCTACGGGACTCACAAGGTTTTCAAGATTAGCCGCTCCAAGAGGGTTACAGGGTTGCGAGCAAAGAAAGCCATCAGTCATGATGCATGACTGCTGCTCCCTATTGTCCGTAGAAAGGTCTGCGATGCCTTTTGGGCTGTGCCATCATTTCCGTTCAAAATGGATGAGAACATGTTTGACAAATGCATGGGTCAAAAGGCAAAGAGGGCGTTGGGCAAGGAGGAGGTCCCCGGTTTGAGTCCTTGTAGCCGGGGCGGAAAAAGATGCCTGCCCTCTGTCGGTGGGAGTCATTGGGAGGCTCTTTCCTCAATGGACGCGGCCTAAGGACAAGCGTAAATTCTAAATCTTTCTTTTTTCATGGAGACCCTCTTCAATCAAAATCATGCAGTACACATTCAGTTTCCACCAACCCACAAGGCACCCTCTGTGGGGAGGTGGAGAGTGCCTATTTCTGAAAGCAATGCCCTACATTTCCTCTCAGGATGCAACATTCCATCATGTCAAACATGGTCAATGAGCGCCACGATATTGCTAGCAAGGCAGCGTAATTTTAGTACGTATTTTGTTTAGTATCTCTATTTGCTGTTCATTCTTTGTATGCTTTTATCTTCTGTATTTCACAAGTATTAGGTGCTGTGTATGGCATATGGACATTTAATCGTATACCCGTCCGTATGTTTACTGAGGATATACGATTCGAACGTATGCATGGCAGATTCAAAGTCTGCTGGCTTACCAGGCTTGCCTAATCCTCATTTATTGAGAATTAGATTAAACAGAAAGCAGAGGATTCGAACCTCTATTATTTGGTTAGGAGACCAACACACTACCAATTATGCTACCCTTTATAGCGTAGGGGGGGGGAGTCCAAGCCCACAGGCACATGGCTGACAACTCAAACCCTAAGAATTTTTCTCTCATTGGCTCATGGCTTAGTCCGTTGGTTGGTTTACAAGGGTTTACGACGGTTAACCTAGCTCGAACCTCTGGCTGATCAGCCATTGGTGAAACATTCTGAACCAGCCATCAAGATCAGCAATAAGTAAACAAGACAGGTATCTTAAAAGTTTTTGTCCGAGTTTCAAGGTTACAAGAATCATCAAAACGCATGACTGCTAGGCTTCAAATAAAGAGGGGAACTCCAAGTTAGCAAATTGTTGTTGTTGTTGTTGTTGTTGTTGTAATGTTGCTACACAGAATATCGAGATAATCGTAGGTTCTGCCTAAGGTTACGTTTCTGTATTTGCCTACAAGGGCAGCTAAGCGGAAACACAGAGGCCTGTAACCAGACAAGAGAGAGAGAGAGAGAGAGAGAGAGAGAGAGAGAGAGAGAGAGAGAGAGAGAGAGAGAGANGAGAGAGAGAGAGAGAGAGAGAGAGAGAGAGAGAGAGAGAGAGAGAGAGAGAGAGTGAGTTAGCTGCACTTGTCCGAATAAGAATGGAATGCAATAAATATCACAAAAACATTGGACCAGTTCGTGACAATGCAGCAAAACAACACAAAAAAGCAATATTGTGCCTGCAGGCCAACTGATCGCACCCATGAAAAGGAGGGCAACACCTCAAGGTTTTGGCAAGTAAGAGAAGAAGCATTGTGATTAACAGACTGCGTGTACACGTGTCAGGGGGGCCGAAATTTTTGAAAAAAAATAGAATAAAAGTAGTCTAGGCCTGGGAGCCCCAGTGGTGAGGCCCTGGCTAGCTTGCTAGGAAGGGAAGATTGCCTCATGCACGCAGCCAGACCTGGCTTGCATAGTCTTCTCCTTTTTTTCTTTTGGCGGGCAGAATCCTTCTCAAAGGCGTCTGCAGAGGCCAACTTGAGGAAGGGCTTGTCTTCATGGACATAGGCAGTGCAGATCATCTTGCTTTAAAGGTTCTCCAGATCCCTGAAAATTCAACAAGTATGACCCTCCCTAGTAAAAGTAGAAGTCTGCGCTGGACACAACTAGTGTGCATTGAGGAAAGACCCACCACTGGCAGTCAGCGATGGCCTACTTTCTAGAGCTTCAGCTCAAGTTACCCTCCACACTATCCTGCTAGGTGGAAGAGAAGTCATCTACACCCCGCACACATTGGAGCCTCTTAAGGAGCTTGGTCTTGACACTTTCAAGGCCACCAAGCTTGTCTGGAAGCTTCATGCTCATTCTGTCCTGTACGCTTATAAACTTTCCAGCACCAGACCTGCTCTTGAGAAAGCCTTTTTCAACTCTCAACAAGGTCAGGCACGGGATACTGCTAGTAACCCACCTGATCCCCACTGACTTCTTTCTTCCGCTTTCTCTTGGTGAAGGGGATATACGGTGCCTTGGTACTGGATATCCCCTTTTCCTCAATTGATGTGGGGAGTGATTTCACTGCCTGCGTAATTTTTCTTTTCTTTTCAAATACGCATTTGAGGTAGTGGGGAGTGTAAAGTGGTAAAGGTTGCTCTTTTCCTGATGGAGGTGGTGGTTAAAGGACTTTCCTGGGTGCAAAGGGGTATTATTGGTGTTATACCGCGTGCTTGCGTGGGTGTGGTAGCAGAGTATGGGATCTCCGTGGTTCCTTGTTGAATTTCCTGAGTGGGGAGCAGTAAGTAGTTTTGAGTTGTGTTTTGTACTAAGGAGGTTGCTCTTGTGGTTACACTGGCTGTTTGTTTGCTTTTAGATCGAGTCCTTTTGCTAGGTGGTTCTTCTGTTGGATTAATGGTACTTTGAGATAGTGTCTTCAGTGGTACAGCTTGGGTGGGGGGCACATCATGTTCGTTGGCGGCTCCCTGAGGATTATTGTCAGCGTTGTTGGGGCTCCTTTGGGTTGTGGTTCCTTGTACGTTCTATTGTGTGGTATCCTGAGTGTTTCCAGGGTTCGTGCTGGCCTCTTCTGAAGGTGTGGAGGTCCCTTGTGTGTTGTGAGAAGTGGTGGTCAGAGAATTGGTGCTCTGGGAAGTGATGTTAAAGGGGGCAGTTTTTAGGGAGGTGGTGCTCAGGGAGGTTGTCTCTTTTGTGTTGAAGGAGGTGGTGGACCGATTGGTATTTATTTCTGCTGGATTGGCCTCTTGATTCTGTGTTGCTTTGTTAGGGTTTTGGATGGGGGCAGTGATTGAATTATTTGTCAGATTGATGCGGCGGCCTGTAAGCGGGTGTGTGTAGTTAGTCCTGGAGCGGGGTTGTGTTGGGGGCACTGGTTGTGTTGTGTGTGCAGTTAGGGGGATAGTTCTTGGGCATGGTGAGTTTGGAGGTGCATTGTTGAAGTGTGTGTCTACCAGCTCGCTTATGTGGCTGTTGTTGATTTGGCGGTACCTGGGGAGGGTGTTAGCTGCAGTATTTTTAACTTCAAGAATATTATGTATGATGTCCTGGGTCAACTCTACATCGGGAGGTAGTTTGACTAAGGCTGCCAGTCTGTTTAGGGCTGTTTTCCTTTTTTGGTAATTTTTGAATGCTTGTTCTTGAGTTGCGCCACACTGATTATGTGGGTTCCGCTATTGGTTGTAAGGTCATGGAGTCCTTGGACGTCCAGACTAAGGAGGGGTTTGTGATACAGGCAATCAGCGTCGGGAAAGAGTGGGCGGGGGGTTAGTGGAGGGAGAGAGTCTCATCTGTGCCCCCACTGGTTTTGATCACGAGTTCTCAATAGTTTTTTTTAAAGTTGATTTCGTGCAGTCAGGAGTTGTTCAGGCTTAGTGTCTGAGCACAATTTCACGTATTTTGGGTGTTAGGTGGAGTCCCTGCCTGCAAGGGGAGTTGTAAAGAACTAAAATGCCATCAGGGCTTTTGTTGGACAACATCACGGATTTCTGTCTCTAGGAGCATAGCCTTCCTGTACTGCATGCACCCACAGTGGCAATGTAAGGTCAAAAGTCTCCTTTGCTTATTGCTACACCACAAATGCTGAGTGCTTGATAGTGTTAATTTATGCTGAGTATGCCGGGAACCCTAGGCCCAGGTACTTGACACGTGCGCACAATGCGGCATAGCCGCCGGGCTCATGCTCCCCAAGCAGACATGCACCGCTTAATTGTTGGTGTTTTGGAGATTGGAACTGTATTCAATATGAGTTAGAGTCAGATTTGGCATGCTCATATGGTCATGCATTCATTTCACTTTGGTGACCATTTAGTTAGTTTGTTACTGGAATTTTGGCCGATGACTTTCCTGGACCTCTATGTTGAGAATTCCTACTGAACTTGTAGGATGCAAGTGCCATCTGGATGTGATGTAGGAGGACATCTCAACCTTCCATGTGTAAAGGAGTGATGGCCTGAGGCCAAGCAAGCCCTGGGGAGAGAGCAGGAATGGAGCAGCAGCGTGGCTATCAGGGAGGTGGCAATGAGAGCATAGGAGAGTAAGCATGCCTCAGTGTGGCAGGCAATGGAATTCACACACTGCTATGACCATGTATCACTGCCACCACATAAAAACCCACATTCTCAATATGGAGGACAGGTTCTTTAAATGGTGCAGCATAGCCAATGAGTATGGAAGGAATGGCTTTCTGCCTGGTTCAGTGAGGTGCCAGTTTCATCAAGCAATTTTGCTGATTGAACAGCAAGTGCATCAGTGCTTTCATCGCCGAGGATACCATACCATGTGATTTGACTATGTAAAAGTGTAAGGAACTGATAAGAAACGAAATGGAAAGAAAACTACGCAGGCAGTGAAAACACTCCCCACATCAATCAAGGAAAAGAGGATACCTAGGGCCAAGACACCATGTATCCCTTTCACCAAGAGAAAACGAGAAAAGAAGTCAGTGAGGATAAGAAGGGTTACTGGCAGTAGTTTGCGCCTGACCTTGTTGTTGAGACTTAAAGAAACAGACATAAAGTTCTGTGAAGACATAAGGCCAGAGCATCAGTCGAATGCAGCTAAGCAGCATGCAGACCTTAGTAAGCTTATAAGGGCCAAAGCTGTCACTATTCATCATTTGCTCCTGGGTGTTGATGGAACTATTTACACTGAGCATACCCTGAAGCAATTCAAGCAACCAGGGCTGGATCACCAACGTGCCACTAAGGTTGCCCAACAACTTTGTGCGCATTCTATTCAATATGCCCTCAAACTTGTTTCCACACGTCGAGACATCGAAAGCAAGAGTACTTCCCACAGCCAGGTTATTGAGCCATGTGCTTCTAGTAACCCTCCAGATCCCCGTTAGCCTGTTTTTGCTCATACTTCGTGGTGGAGGGGACTCACTGCTCTTTAAGAGCCAATGTGTCTCCTTAAATGATGTAGGGAGATCTTCTCTTCATAGTTTTTCAGAGGAGGCTATCTGAGGCCCAAAATCAGGTGTTTTTGGCATGCTCCTTGCGTATATCTCCCGTTAATTGGTAGATTGAAGCTTGGTATGCTCTGGTAGCTGTCTGTAACACTGAAGTGTATTTCTACTGCACCAAATTGGGTGATATTAAGTGACTTGAGGTCCTTGTACCAAAAGAATATCATTGCAAAAAGATGGAGTGAAAACCCAGTGGGTGGTCAGATACAGAATTTCAGCCATTTCCCTTAGAGAAAATCCAGCACTAGGGGTGCCAAAAAGGTCATTTTTGGACCTCCTCCATTCCTATTTTTGAATATGCAGGATGTTAGTAGTTCATGTGAGTGTCTTAAATATGAAATTTTGGGAGTGAAAAATGGTCCTAGGGTGGAGCTGTGGGCCATTTCAGGGTGATCTGAGGCCAGGAGAGTGATTTGGAGTCCTCCAATTTCTGTAATTTTTTGTAAAATGTAATAATTTTATCAATAATAATGGTTGGCATGGTTAAATTTGGGAGAGAAATGCAAGGAAGAGCATGTCTGGCAAATTGGCCAGTTAACCCCCTCTGATAGTTTTTTCATTTTTCTTTGAAAGAACTGAAGCGTGCCCTTGGG